ATATATATATATATATATATATATATATATATATATATATATATATATATATATATATATATATATCTCTCTCTCTCTATATCTTCTCTCTCTCTATATATATATATATATATATATATATATATATATATATATATATATATATATATATATATATATATATATATATATATATATATATATATATATATATATATATATATATATATATACATACATTATGTTAGAGTTAAATTCTACCATGAAGGGCCTGAAGGGCCATGAAGGGCCTGATCTGGGGTCTGCTGGACTCTATAAATTAAATTGAATTTAATTTTAATTTAATTTTATTCATTCGTTTATTTACTGTTATTTTATTTGAAATTTTTTGATTTTAGAGAACAGAAGTTCTACTTTAATAGATACATTGCTGGGAAACCCTGGAAGGGCCAGCAGATAACATTATAAAGCCCTTATGCTCCATATGATCATATGATATGAGTTGTCATCCACAGGTGTGTGCTGTAATTATGGTCTGTTTCCATGCATCTCTCAGGTGAGCAGCGTTACCTGCAGCAGCAGCCGTTCGTCACCCTCGACAACGGCCTGATTCCACTGGATGACATCAGAGAAGGGAAGCTCCCATCCGTTGCTAAGCAACACCGGGATGCAGGCGGCCTGCGGGACAAAAACCACAGCACAGGTTATAATTAACAGCAATTAAAAACACACACATATACACACACATATACACACACATACAGCGGGCCTGCAGAAAATGATTACAGAAATAATTTTTACTCAAGCATTCATTCATTCATTTATTTTCTTTTCAGATTAGTCCCTTTATTAATCAGCGGTTGCCACAGCGGAATGAACCGCCAACTTATTCAACTTATTAGATTTTCCTCCATATTGTCATGATAGCATCACACAGTTGCTGCATATTTGTCGGCTGCACATCCATGATGCCAATCTCCCGTTCCACCACATCCCAAAGCTGCTCTATTGGATTGAGCTCTGGTGACTGTGGAGGCCATTTGAGTACAGTGAACTCATCGTCATGTTCAAGAAACCAGTCTGAGATGATTGAGCTTTATGACATGCTGCGTTATCCTGCTGGAAGTAGCCATCAGAAGATGGAGACACTGTGCTCATAAAGGGATGGACATGGTCAGCAGCAATACTCAGGTA